GACGCTCCCCAGGGCTTTACCGTATTAACAGGAGAAGAGGCGCAAGTGAATTTAGACACTGTTGTTAGACAACATGCGGTAATTTATAAATGTTTTAATCGGGTTGGGTCCGCTAATCTGTGACCTCTGGTAGAGCGTGATTGCTCTTGTTCTCCCCGTTTGAAGTTAAAAACAACAGAACATTCTATTAACTTGCAAATGCTTGTAAGCTAATATAAATAAAATGATGACCTTTACATTTTTCTAACAGTAACTTTGCTGTTTGCTAGGTTTTTTTCTAATATTTTTTCATATAGGTTTTATTTTTAGATGTTCTCTTGCTCAGATTGAGATTTACAAATGTTTCTTTTTTTTAAAGTGTTCTCTCTTCAGCTCGGCGTTCCTCTGGGGGGGGGCGACGAAGGAAAACCTGTTAGTCCTGAGCGACTGTTTGCATATCGCTTGAAGTGGAGAAAAGAAATCCGTAAAACTCCACCTGAAACAAGTCATTTTTGAAAACATTTTTTTTAAAAGTTTAGAAAACGGGGAAAAAAAAAAAACTTCTTCCCCTTTTTAGATATATTTTGTAGAAAGTTTAACATCTGAATTGTTTTTAAGTCAATTTTACAAAATGTGTTTTTGACAATAATGGAACAAATTTCACTCCATACATTAAAGATAAAATATTTAAGCCTGAAGCAACCAGGATGACATCATGACCCCTCAGGAGCCGTGGGTTTTAAGACCCTGTAGAACCTGATGGTTTGAACAAAATATCACTGCAGTATTTTAAAATTAACACTAAAAATCATTTATTAGCTGTGTTACTCTTTTTATCTGTTTATTTCTGATTCATTCAATTCACCAAAGCTCAGCTCTACCGTCCTGCAGTCCAGAGGATTTAATGAATGAAGGCGTTTAGCCTCCCGGCCTATTGCTTTTATTCAATCATCTCTGTAATATAAGATATTGGTCATCTCTGGGTCGGCCTGAAGAATAAGCAAACTTAGTAGCTGCTTGTATGGAAACTAGAGGCCCACAAAGAACAATTAGTTTTTTTAATATATAATTATTTCTGCAGTTTTAGTAAAAAAAACAATTTCCCTGGTAAAA